ATATTTTTTTAGTATATTACTTGTGTGGTGTAGAAGATAATTATTTATGTAGAGATACTGCTTGCAAACCAATGATGTAAGATGATGTCATGGGGTAGGACTGGATAAGTCTGACTTCTTCCTACTCCATTCAAGCATGTACTAGGTATAAGCAAATTGATATTGGATTAGCATTTGTTGGATATGTGTAAAATTATGTGTGTTGATATATCAACTGTCTTTACATGCTTGAAAGAATAAATAAATCAATCAAAATTGACTGGTTGGCAGAGGCGTGCAACTGCAAAGTGGTTATTCTAGTTGTCTCTGTTGTTTTGTAACTCACACAAACACATTTATTAGGTTTTTCCTATACATTCTATGTCAATTGCATCCTCGTTCCATAGCCATTGAATTTGAATTCCAGTTGTTTAATACTCAATACCAGCTTACTGTAGATTTGTGATGTTCTATACATTCACCCAGTTCCTCCCCTTCAGCTTAACAACACTGTTTTGTGTGTGGTTTTATTAATGGGCCTTCACACAGTGTTTTTGTTTTGTTTTGTTTTGGTTGGTTGTTTTTACTAGGTTTCTTAGGAAAGTAATCTTATTGAAAATTTTTACTAAAGCAAGAAATTGATGTATTGCATCATAAAATAGCAAAGCCCAGCAGACTTGGGGGCATACAGTATGCTTTTCTCTTTTTGTAGGCATAAAAATGACTGAAAAGACTAACAGTCTCTACACAGGTCACAACCTTTGTTGCTTTTTTGGGCTACATATACAGGTATACCAAACTACACTGCTCAAAAAAATAAAGGGAACGCAAGGGAAAATAAGACATTCAACTATGTAATGAACAAGGTATTTAATAAGAATATTTCAATCATTCAGATTTAGTATGTCTTAAGTTGTGTTCTGTTTATTTTTTTGAGCAGTATATTTTCAGTTTCAGGAAAGGGAGGCAGATCATCTTCTGGAAAGAAAGAATGTGAAACTCTGATGGCGATTAGATGACGTATTCTAATATTAATAAGGAGCAGGCTTGTATTTGTTTGAAATGTGACTATTTATCACTGGCATGAAAAGAGGCCAGCATTTGTCTTAAGGTAGCACAGGTGTCAGTGATACTAAATCATTTAGAAATGAACTTTTGTATTCATTAGTATTGTTGGTATGCGTCAGTCAGGTTGTTGTGTTTAATTAAAATCGGGTCTCTGTGTGTGTGTCATAGTGGATTCCCCCTACATAGTGGCTCCCTATTGGCTTTCTAGCTAATGTGTTGTCTTTCTCTCTGTGTATCTCTCGGTCTGTTTTTATGACTGTCTGTCTTTTGGTTGACCATGCACAAATGTTCTTTCATCCCTTATTTTTGTCTCTTATCCACATTCGGCCTGTCACTTATTTTTTTGCTTTTGTGAGAGTTGTGTTGTGTTTGTTCTTTGACTGTTTGCCTCCATTATGTATTTTTTATGAACTGCTTTCTGCCTGTATTTGAATGTCTGCTTTAAATGTATGTTTGTGTGAGTCATCACATGTCCCTGTCCATTTATGCCTGTGCATCTCTTTTTTTTGTGTCTGTTCTTGTCTTTGTCTGTCTTTTCCCCTTGTCGCTGTCTCCATAATGTCCCCTCCTCCAGCCTTTGTGACATTGCTGAACGGGGACCAGGCTCAGGATGCCATCCGCTCCCTCCATCACAGCACTGTCCGGGGACGCTTGATCAACGTCACCCTGCAACCTACCGACTCCCTGCTCTGCCTCACCAACCTGCCCCACACCTTCACCGCCCAGCAGTTTGAGGAGTTGGTGCGCTCCTACGGAAACATTGAGCGCTCCTTCCTGGTCTACAGCGACCTGACGGGCCACTCCAAAGGATATGGGTTTGTTGAATACATGAAGAAGGACTCTGCTTCACGGGCCCGCTCTGAGCTGCTGGGCCGACCACTGGTATGTTAGAGCAGTTAAAACGATCTTGTCATGTTTGATGATTTGATGCTCTTCTGCTACGTTTATTTATTCTAAAGCAATGGGCTCCACAAGTTATGACTTCATATTTTACTTTTGTAATATATTTGGATTACTTTATAGAAATTATTCCTTTTGACAAATCACTGTCAAAAAAGCCAGATTAAACTTACTTCAGTTCAGTGTTGTAAAACAATAACATGAAAAAAATCCAAGGGGGGGTCTCAAGTTGATTTCATTAAACTTGGTGAATAGATTTTGTTAGATAAGACTTCACTTCACTTTAAGGCTCCTGAATGAAATAAAGAATTGTGATATTACTACTGTAGATTTGATTGTTGCACAATACAAATGAATTTACATTGTTTTATTTAATCTAAACCCAAACAGAAAGAGGAATGATACATTTCATTTCCAGTTGCATCCTCACATTGAGTTGTTTACTCAAAGTTATAATCATTTTATAATATTTACAAGTATTATAGTAGTATTTAGAAGGTGACCATGATGTAGAGTAGGAGTGTGAAGTTGAGATCTGAAAAAAATCTGATTATATGCATCACACAACTCTGTGCAGGGCGATCGCTCACTGATGGTGCAGTGGATGGACGTCAACCAGCTGAGCCACGAGGAGAACCTGCACTCCAAGTGTCTGTGTGTGGACCGACTTCCACTTTATCTCTGTGACTCTGAAGAACTGACCCAGCTTTTTTCTGAAACCTACAAACCTGTCTTCTGCCAGGTCAGTTTCTGTTTATCTGTGTGTGTGTACACAGACATACAGATTTGTCACCTTCATGCAGTACAAGTGTTCTGCAGAAAGTTATTTTAGTTTTAGGATATGTTGATAGTGAACCCATTCTAATATGACAGGCTCTTTAGTAAATAAAACAAAAGTGACCAGGATTTTAGTTGGTATACATCATTCGAGCAAGATCGGATGTGTAAAATGATGCATCTAAAAGGCTACAGCTCACTGATCTGTTATGAAACCAGTGTTTGAGATAAATGTTCTCAAATCCTAGTTTACACTTTCTCAGAGCTTCAGAAGTTATAAAGAAAATGTTATTCACTAATAATGTAACACAAACTCCAGTGAAGGATCTACGCTTTTCGCTTTGAACTGATTCCTTACACACACACTTTTATCAAGCACCACCAGGTAAGAGGTGCTGATATAAAATTCTGAGGTCAGCCGTCATTATTGGCCAAACTTACAGTATCACAAAGCAACTGTTTCCATGGTGAGGTGTGGCTGCTGTGGGACCAGCCCCACCTTTCAGCTCTGACTATACTTGGTTTACATGCTCCATTTTGCTGTGTTATATTCCACCCTGCGTTCTACATCCACTCCACCCCCACATGTCCATTCAATGGGTACCTGTCATCTACTGAGCTTCCAGTTTTAGCTCCACCCCTCTGCCCCACTCCCACATAGAAATCAATACACCCACATCATCTTGATCTCATGATGCTTTGTGGGTGTTTAGCTCATGTTGCCTCGCTGTTGCAGAGCCTGCAGTCTTTGACCTGTGGTGTATTACTGCACTTCAACACATACTGTAATCGCAGGGATACTTGAGGCATAAACCTTACAAAACCCTGTGGACCAGAAAAAAATGATGCAGAAATGGCATCAACAAAACATAAAAGATAACATTCAAAAAATGAATTATGTAATCACAGTATTATTTTTCTAACCTATCTGTGTGTCTGGGACAGACACAGCCATTTTAACCTTGACTGCGGAATGAGTTTAGTTTGGTATCATAGGTTTATCACACTAGTAGGGAAGGTCTGACCATCTGGATTAGTGGAGGTGTTGCCAACTCAAATCAAATTAGTGGTGCTAATAGTAATATAATGTGGCAGTATTTTTGAAGGTGACATTGATGCTTTGCGGAATTTGTACACACTTTGACAAGAACATTTTGATCAATTATATCAATACATTATGGATGTAATGTAAAGAAAATATTTCACTTAACTATAACAGGAGTTGGGGACACACATTTAGGCTGTATCACAATGTTCTAGTTGCCAAAATCCAGATATCTAGTCTTACCTTTGTTATAATTTGAATATATCTGTATTACTAACTTTACACCCTGTCACT